GCTCGCAAAAGAACGCACTGATTTCAGCGGCGAGTAGAGCACTTTCGCAATAAAGAGGATACTTCAAGTACGCTCAAAGCGCACTTAATGTTACACAGCTTTATGAACTAAGAACAGTCTGTTATGAGCGCTTCAGTTAGTGCAACGTGGACAATGTGAACGTTCAAGTGTTTATACTCATCTTTGTAATACTAAGTTTTTTTAGGCCATAATATCTTAATTGATTGTCAACAGGTTGCACCGACGGATATTCTGGGACCCTGCATTGTGTGGGGCGAAACGAGACGGCTAATCTGCGTCCACGAACCACGAAATGAAATCGACCTGCAACCGGAGACGTCTCTCGAGAAAGCGCTGGTGCTATGCCTCTGTGTTTACTACTTAAAGAACGTAACATACCCAGCAGCATTTGGGCAGATGCTTGGTTTTGTACAGAGAGTAGTGAAACGAGCAAGCAGGTCTCAGGTAGCGTGGGCCCAGAAAAGGTTGCGTGATCCTCTCTCAAAGTTGCACTTTTTGCTCACACAAAGTTTTTTTGTTTTTTTTTTTCGTTCTGGTTTTTGAGGAATGGGTGGAGGGGAGTTATGTACATCAAAATAATAATCTCTCTAGCAAGTGAAATAAAGAGCCGCCCTTAATAATGAAAAATCTATGGTATGTAGAAAAAATGGCAAGTGCCACGCGGTCGAATGCTCCAAAACTAAATCTAGTCATTACGCCAATTCAATCTTTATTAGCAAATATTGACTTTCGTAACACTTTGCTCATTTGAACTCATTTAATATTTATGCCAGTTTGACCTTTGTTAGCGAAGTGATGACGTTGTTTAAACTGGTTGTGTTTTGTTACGAACCATTTTTAGAAGGAAAAACCTCCTTATTCTGTGGTTAACTTCTTTTAGAAAATCACAGACTTGCCACAAAGCACAATTTTTCTAGTATACCAATTGTTGTATGTTATAGAAAACGAACCGCAAAGAAGTATGACACCACACAATTATCACTGCGTAGCTGCAAAACATATGGCAATGAATTATATATTGATATTTTTCTAACATTTACTGAAAAAATATATACTGATTCAAACCCGCTAAAAATGACATTCATTCATATTGACAAATATTGACATTCATTCATATTTGTTTCACTATACTCATAGTTGTGGCAGTTCTTAGCATTTAGTGGGCATTATACTTTTTTAATGGCTTATTTGTACCAAAAAAAAAAGATTTTCAAATAAAGAGTTTAGCCCCGAAGCTGACATTTGTTTGCCTTTTTCTATTTAGTTCCTTTTCGACTGTTCCTTCTTGTAACTAGAGCCTAACGAGATCTCTCTCTCTCTCTCTGTCTGTCTCTTTCTTTGGGTTTTTAGACGCCAAACATAAATTTCCTAAAATCTTTATACAAGTTGCACAGCTGTCAACAGCTTACAGCTACTTAGCGCAATGTTCCAGGCGTAACATGATTCACAACTGCCATTCGTATATGTGCGTAATTATACATAAAGCAGCACGTTTACCTTTCTTGCACTACTCAATTCGCCTAAAGGAGTACTTAGAGAGATATAGAAGATCGTTTTTGAGCTCCTATAGCGATATCCGATAACAATATGATGCATGGGGGCCCGTGTGTTCATACGCTGATTACGGCGTGTGTTTTCTCCACCCTCAAATAATGACGCCTTCTAGGCGCGTGAAATATGCGTCGTGGTTGAAACCTCTGGCAGCTGACATTGGGCTTTCTCGCATTTAGTATATCGTCCCAATAATCTTAGTTATTGGGATGATATATTAAATGCAAGAAAGCGGAATGCCCACGGCCAGAGGTCTCCACCGCAACGCGCTTATCACACGCCTAGTAGGCGCCATTATCTAAGCGTGGAGAAAACGCACGCTGTAATAAGCGTGTAAACGCAAGGGCCCCCTCACGCCTGCCAAGCGTTAAACCATAGCACAGTTCACGCTTAGGGAGCGTTAATTCTAAGCGTTGAGAAACAGCACGCTTAGAACAAGCGTGTAAAAAATCGTTTTGCGTCACGGCTGCAAGCGTTAAACATATGCGCAGTTCACGCTTAGGGAGCGTGAATTCTAAGCGTTGAAAAACACCACGCTTAGAACAAGCGTGCAAAAAATCGCTTTGCGTCACGCTTGCTATGCGTGACCATTTTTAGAGTGTAGGCGTTGTAAATGGAAATGGGGCGGGGGGGGGGGGGGGGGGGGAAGTGAGAGCCAATTGTGTACGCGCACAGGGCGTATTTGTCACTGGCCCTAGGCGAGCCGATCCTCGAGCAACTTACGGCTGTCAACTCGGGAGCTGATTGGCGGCCGGCCCCACGCCGTACGCTTCGGAATACGCCACACCGAAATACGCCGAAGCTCCTGGACCTGTCTTGGTCGGACCACAAAAAAACGCGCGTTCTTCTGCCGACTTTGAGGTGCCGATCAACGAAGCGCTCTCGTCCTGAAACCCGCTACACGTCTAGATTACCCACGCTGAAAGGTTTGTAAGAATGTCGAAGATACGGCGTATTTTGGACGTATTTACTGGCGTTTCAGCGACGTAATCCCGACGTATATAGCGGCTGTCGGGACGAGCGCTTCCTTGACGTCTCAAGTTTAGCGTAAATACGCGCCTATTTGGGGATCTGACCGAGACAGATCTCGGCGTTTCGGAGTATTTCGGTGTCGCGTTTCCGGAAGCGTACGGCGGAGTGCCAGCCAATCAGCTCCTGAGTTGACAGCCGGAAGTTACTTAAAGGGGCGATGCAACAATTTTTGTACTTTGCGCAATTACCGCTTAGAACGGATCCCTGACATTAATGACCTATAAAACACGCGTTCGTTTTTCACCCCACGCAATAGAAGTCCCAGAAAAAAACTAAAGAAAAACGAGCAGCGCACACCCCCTCAACTCGCAGCCAGAACAAGCGGCCACGTGATCTGGAGCCGACAATATGCCGCCAATGTAGATCATAGCCACGCGCTGGGGTTGGCAAAGCAAAGGGCACGCGCTGAGTTCCAGATATTGTTATGGCTCGGCTATTGTCGTCGTTGGAGCGGTTTCACACGGGCCACTACCCGAACGCTTCTCGAGCTAGTATTTATCACGAGCCCAAATCGAGTGCCCACGCAATGCTCGGGTCCAATCTATGAACAGCATTCAAATATCGTCACTTGGGTGTTTTGCGGTCCCCAAGTTACGTCAAGAAATTTTGCAAAAGAGAGATTGAATGAAAATGATCGCTTTTGTCCTTGAAGTTACACCGCAACAAAGGAGTTTCTCGGCCAGCGGAGTTGCGTGCGAGTATCCTTGAGCCCCACTAGTGCCAGTAAGCTCGTGCAAAGTGAAAAACATTCCAACTGAATATCGTTGCACAGCTCCTTTGAGGGTCGGCTTGCCTATCTTTGCGGCCGGTTGGCTGGCTCGACTCAACCGCCGAAATCGGCGCTCATTTGTCGAGTTCAACGGCTAAAGGTGCATTCGCACACTCGCAACCGAGTACGACCGAATGAGACAAGATCGGTTATTAAGCCTCTTACGACAGAATGCGCTGCTGCAGAGCTGGTCATGAACCGGTTCAAGATGCTTAAAGGAGCGATGCAACAATTTTTGTACTTTGCGCAAATACCGCTTAAAACGGATCCCTAACGTTAATGACATATGAAACACGCGTTCGTTTTTCACCCCACGCAATAGAAGTCCCAGAAAAAAATTAAAGAAAAACGAGCAGCGTTCACCCCCTCAACTCGCAGCCAGAACAAGCGAACACGTGATCTGGAGCCGATTATATGCCGCCAGTGTTGATCATAGCCACGCGCTGGGGTTGGCAAACCACAGGACACGCGCTGAGTTCCAGACATTGTTAGGGCTCGGCTGTTGTCGTCGTTACAGCGATTGGACACGGGTCACTACCCGAATGCTTCTCGAGCTAGCAATTATCACGAGCCCAAGTCGAGTGCCCACGCAATGCTCGGGTACAATCTATGAACCGCATTGAAATATCGTCACTTGGGTGTACTGCGATCCCCACGTTGTCATCAAATTTTGCAAAGGAGAGATTGAATGAAAATTATCGCTTTTGTCCTTGAAATCACCCCGCAACAAAGGAGTTTCTTGGTCAGTGGCGTTGCGTGTGAGTATCCTTGAGTTCCAGGTGTGCCAGTAAGCTCGTGTCGAGTGAAAAACATTCCAATTGAACATCGTTGCACCGCTCCTTTAAAAACCGGTCTTGTTTCAATTGGTATAGTGAAGCGCAAGTATGTGAAAGCGCCTTAACGGCGAACTGTATGAAATCACTATATCTCTTTCGAACGAGCGATGTACGACTGAGACAGAAGAAAGGACGCTCTATGAGGAGGGCGATGTGAAGAAAAGAATTATAAAAGGAAGGATTTTGAGCAGGCTATTGCAAGGAACATTTTTAGAGATCCGTTTGCAAATAAGGCTCGGGTGGTTGATTATCATTTAGTTATGTCCCCTGCGGAAAGCATTAATATAGCAATTTATCTACATCTTGCCTCGTTTTATGAAAAGCGTGAGTCGGGGCACACTCCACCAAACGCCGAGGAGAGGTCGTCGTCGACGAAAATGCCGTGTGTTGTTTAGCTACAATCCTCTCCTCTCTTCTGTGCAAAAAAAAAAAAAAAAAAAAAACGCCCGCCAAGTGCCGTAATTACATCCGCTAAAACGCACGCAAATATGTTGAGAATGCGCCCCATCTGCGTCGGCTTTTAGCTGACGTATCTAGAACTTCACACATAAAAACGTCAAAGACGACGCAACGTGCTGTACTGGAACGCAAGAAGTCATAAACCAAATGGTCCCACTCAGACGCAAGTAGGTGAAGCAATCTTTAAGGGTGAAAGGAGCATAGCACTGCTAGGAAGAGATGGTCGTTGCTACGCTGTGGAAACACACCAATCTCTCTTCTGTGTTCTTCAATATGTGAATCCACCTATATTTGAGGTTTGAGGTGCTTATACATCACAGTTAGTCACTCACCTGAGTTGGTTTCATTGTAAAAGGTTTTTGTAACTTGACACTGCTCCTTGAGGTCCATGTAAATCAGTTGCCTTTGTTGTTCTGTTTAAAACAAGAGACCACAACCAAAGCATTTATAAAACATGTATTCAGAATATTGTGCGATTATTACTTATTAATCTAACCCAGTTATTTTCCTTTGGCTTATCTGGGGGTTTATACGTATTAAGTATACGTCTTCTGTTTTCTGCTCAGTAGATTACGGTTACAGCTAGGATCGGAAAAACAAAATTACTTCACAAAATGCGATGGGAAACATTTGTAGGAATAACAAAACTTTAGCAACTCTAATTCTTTTATGAACGTTTTAAACACTCGCCAGATTGAGCCTTCATTGCCGACCCTGTCTTAGCCAGTTGCCGAGCCACTAAAGCGGGCGCTGACGAGCCTCCACAAAGGCCTATGCTGGGGAGAAGGACGCAGTAGCAGCTGAAGTGGCAATAACCCTCCTGCTGTGGCAATGATGAAGTGAAGCGAACAGAATAGAGGAGTGCAGTTAAGACTGCTTACGCTAGAAAGCAGTCTTAAATATCGCTAGAAAAAACCTCGGTGCTCGCTGTTCTCTTCACTAATGTTTATGGGGTTTCTTAACTACCAGTGTGACTATATACTTGTTTATTAGGGTGAGCGGGGGGATACAGGGAATGCCGCCTTTTACTATATATGTTTGCGTTTCCTGTAGTCGCTTACAAGTGGAAAGGGGTTTTCGAGGGAAAAGAGGGTAGAGGAGGAGGGTGTAGGCGGAGCGCTGGCGAGCAGAGGAGGAAACCTCCTCCTCTCTTCAGTATTTTGTCTGCTTCCTGCTCCCCGGCCAGAAAACTTCTCTTGACCTGTCACTGACTATAAACACGGCAACACCAATTTTGTTTTAGCATGTTTATATATTGTTACAAACGTGGCCCACCGTGTGTGGATTTGTTTTTGTTGTCGACGTAATTCTCTCTCTCTCTCTCTTGATCTCCGAAACGTCTTTCAACTTGCATTATATCTTGACTTGAAATTGAGAGGGCTCTGCTTGGGGGGAACGTCGAATAAAGCCTCTGCTGCTGCTCACAATTTTAGAGCGCAGCTCTTAGGGGCCCGTTTCCGGCTTGAGCGGCGTCGGCGTCGCCGTCGGCGTCGGCGTAACCGCGCGGTGCATCATGGGAAATGTCCCATAATGCACCGCGCGAGCCCCCCACCGGGGTCACGTGACCTCGTGGGGGGCACGTGACCCCCCCGAGGTCACGTGACCCCGGTGCATCGTGGGAAATGTCCCATAATGCACCGCGCGAGCCCCCCACCGGGGTCACGTGACCTCGTGGGGGGCACGTGACCCCCCCCCGAGGTCACGTGACCCCCCAAGTCACGTGACTCCCCTGAGGTCACGTGACCCCCGCCGATGTCGCGTGACCCCCAATGACGTCATCGTCACTGATGACGTCACCGGCATCCACATCGTCATCGTCATCATCACTGATGACGTCATCATCACTGATGACGTCACCTGCATCCACATCGTCATCGTCATCATCACTGATGACGTCACCGGCATCCACATCGTCATCGTCATCATCACTGATGACGTCACCGGCATCCGCATCGTCATCGTCATCATCACTGATGATGTTACCGACATCCGCATCGTCATCGTCATCATCACTGATGACGTCATCAGTGACGTCACTGATGCGGGTGCCGATGACGTCACTAATGACGTCATCGGCACCCGCATCGTCATCGTCACTGATGACGTCATCAGTGACGTCAGTGATGACATCATCGGCATTGGGGGTCACGTGACCCCCAAGGTCACGTGACCCCCCCCCCTGGTTAGTTTAACCCCCCCCCCCCCCCAGTGCCCTTCCCTCCTCCTCAAGAGCTGCGCTCTACTTCGGCGTTACAGGGAGTTGTAAGCAGCTTTCACTTTTTTTCGACGCCTACAGCTAGAGAGCTTAGATCGGAGAGTGAATCTATTTCAAGTCATGGTATCTTTTAAAATTTAATGGCGGACGACTCCTGAGGAGATTATTCGTGAGTGCGCATGCTCTTCGTTTTGCGCGTGGCGTGGAAAAAAGCAGGCGGAAACGCGGAGACGCTGGCAGACGATACGCTGGCGGCAAGTCTTCGCAACTCATATTGCGAACGTGGCCCATGTAAACCACGTGGCTTCAATCGAGCAATTGGACTGAGAAACCGCTCCATCAGTGAACTCATTACCGCATGGCAAGGAGTTTGAGGAGAAACTTGACACGAGTCATTCGAACAACGAATATTACGGTGACTCGTGTTTGCAGACTGTTTTCTTTTTTTGTACGAAGTATGAGTAGTATTAAGTAGTGTGACTCCGACTTAAGGCGCAGCATTATCCTGCGTGAGAATTGGAGACGTTGGACGTTATGGTTCGTTTGACTGTTGTCTCTTTTACGAGTTCAATGTAGGTGCTCGACGCATCGCATCACGTTTACAGGTTGGTTCGATAGAGGCGTTCTTGGAGTCTTCTGCCAGAGTGCGGAGTTTATTATTGGCATTCCGGGTACGAGGGCGTGGCAGGAAAATTCCGGGACTGATTTTGCAGCATACAGAGAGTGGCAGTAGTCGAAAGCGGGGACCTTCTTGCATAAGTATGCCAAAGAACGCTCGCTCTGTGAACACTTGGAGCTCCGCTATAAGAGTTTGTTTGATCAGATGCACCAGCATAATGGCGATCTCTCCATAGACAGCTAACCAAAATGAGAACGAACATCTATTTTACGCCAAACTCGACAAATCAGAAACAGAGTCCTCTTAGATGATTTAGAACGCTTATATGCCAACAAGTAGAGAGGTGTGCGAGGTATTTTAAGTGACACTCGCGCCGCAAGAATGGCAGAACGTCACTGAAGTCAAAGAGAGAACGGATAAGGTCGCCCTAGCGCTCTTCGTCTTCCAGCGATTTTCTGCCGTTCCTGAAGCGCGAGTGCCACCTAAAACGCTTCGCAAAATTTACTGCATGGGACAAAAGCCTACAGAATCATCTTAAAGGTATCTGCATTTTATTTGCCGAGTTTGACGCAGACTTTATGTTCGGTCTTGCTCTGGTTTGCGTTCTATGGTGAAATCGCTATTGTGCCCGTGCACGTGGTAACAAAAACTCCTGTAGCGCAGCTCCAAATTTTGACAGAGAAACGCACTTTCGTATAGCGTGACACGAAGGTCCAGTCGTTCGACTGCTGCGCGCGCATCACCAGGCTACCCTCTCTTTTTATGCTACAAAGTCAGTCCCGGGACTTTTAGAGCGCAGCTCTTAGGGGCCCGTTTCCGGCTTGAGCGGCGTCGCCGTCGCCGTCGCCGTCGGCGTCGCCGTCGGCGTAACCGCGCGGTGCATCATGGGAAATGTCCCATAATGCACCGCGCGAGCCCCCCCACCGGGGTCACGTGACCTCGTGGGGGGTCACGTGACCCCCCCGAGGTCACGTGACTCCCCTGAGGTCACGTGACCCCCTCCTCAAGGTCACGTGACCCCCTCCTCGAGGTCACGTGACCCCCGCCGATGTCGCGTGACCCCCCGATGACGTCATCGTTACTGATGACGTCACCAGCATCCACATCGTCATCGTCATCATCACTGATGACGTCACCAGCATCCACATCGTCATCGCCATCATCACTGATGACGTCACCGGCATCCACATCGTCATCGTCATCATCACTGATGACGTCACCGGCATCCGCATCGTCATCGTCATCATTACTGATGACGTCACCGGCATCCACATCGTCATCGTCATCAACACTGATGACGTCACCGGCATCCCCATCGTCATCGTCATCATCACTGATGACGTCACCGGCATCCACATCGTCATCGTCATCATCACTGATGACTTCACCGGCATCCACATCGTCATCGTCATCATCACTGATGACGTCACCGGCATCCGCATCGTCATCGTCATCATCACTGATGACGTCACCGGCATCCCCATCGTCATCGTCATCATCACTGATGTCACCGGCATCCACATCGTCATCGTCATCATCACTGATGACGTCACCGGCATCCACATTGTCATCGTCATCATCACTGATGACGTCACCGGCATCCACATCGTCATCGTCATCATCACTGACGACGTCACCGGCATCCGCATCGTCATCGTCATCATCACTGATGACGTCATCAGTGACGTCACTGATGTCGTCACCGGCATCCGCATCGTCATCGTCATCATCACTGATGACGTCATCAGCGACGTCACTGATGACGTCACCGACATTCGCATCGTCATCGTCATCATCACTGGTGAAGCCATCAGTGACGTCACTAATGACGTCATCGGTACCCGCATCGTCATCGTCACGGATGACGTCATCAGTGACGTCAGTGATGACATCATCGGCATTGGGGGTCACGTGACCCCCAAGGTCACGTGACCCCCCCCCCCTGGTTAGTTTACCACCCCCCCCCCCCCGTGCCCTTCCCTCCTCCTCCTCAAGAGCTGCGCTCTAATTCGGCGTTACAGGGAGTTGTAAGCGGCTTTCATTTTTTGATCACACCTTGGAATAAAACCCACAGCAAGAGGCTTAAGAATGCTGAAAATTACCCGAGACCACAGTCTGGGGTAATTGTTTCCATGAGCAAACTTTTTCCGATTGCAAAAAAATGAAACTACTTTTACTTTAGATCTATCCGAGTCAAAAGCAATCCAACTGTGGAGGGAGGCGGGGAAAGTGTGTTTGTGGGCTTGTGTGACTGTGTGTGGGGGGGGGGGGGGACAGGGGGGGGGGGCTTAGTGAAGAGCCGCGAGCCGCACTTCAACACGCAAAGCGCCGCATGCGGGTCGCAAGTCGCAGCTTGGACACCCCTGCCATGCATGGTGTACAAGGGGTAGTTGGGGCATGACAGTGCTGTCACGTTCTGCTGTTTCTTTCAGCACTTTGAAAAGAAAACCCTCTGGCCAGCTAATTCAGTGAGAAAAAGAAACACACTGACAGTCATGTCTGGAAGAGGTGCTTTGGCAGCTCTCTGCCTGGTTGGGGGTTACATAGAGGAAAATATCCAACCACAATTTAATACACAATCCATTTTTGCAAACTCCTAGGCAGGCTGGCGCCTCTTTCGGTAGCCCTTTTCTCTATGTTGAATAACCTCGCACGACGAAAATAAAAATGATCATTTGTAGCTCATTACATAATAATGGAGGGGTGCGCGAGTACTGAATAATTGTAATAACATCAAATATCAATTAGAATCAAGAAAACAAACCGAATAGATTGAATAATCAATTTATTTTCCATGATATAAAATATTTACTAATTCTCGTGCGAAAAAAGCAGTGGCTGTGCATCATCTGGAGACAACTTCTCCTTTCGGGCCATAACGATGCCTGTTGGCCGTAAAAGTATAAAAGAAAACGACTTTTGCTCGGAAAATAAATGAAGCGTGACGTGCTTCTTTTTTTCAGCCTACTAAAAAGTTCGACAGTTAAAATTGACTTCATGATGGGGCGGGCGCGTTATCACAGGGTATTTTGTCATGTGTCAGACTTTTTGACTGGTCAGAAAACAAAAACACACGAGAACCGTATCCCGTTGCAAAAAGCTATTTTGTGTGTTCCTCAAAGAGCTCTACAACTTTCAATCTGACATTTCGGCTTTAACAGAACATTTAAAAATGATGTAACTAGTCCTCAAATTTTATTAATTAGGCTTAAAAATACTGCAACTCTCGCAAGACAAAACGGCGGCTGGGGCGAGTTGGTTATGCATGTCTCAAAAATAATAGCACAAGTAGGGAATCCACGCGAACACACGTCACTAAGTCCATAAGTGTGATTATTTTTTATGGCCTGTGGTGACGTGTGTTTGTGTGGATTCCCAACTTGCGCTGTTATTTTTTAGATTCTCGCAAGACGCTTGCTAACAACACACAGTTTGTTTCACTTGCACAGAGCGGTCCACTATTGAAGAAAGGAAAATCAGTGCGAATTATATGGGCATACTCGATATTTACGCCTGGGTGGCTCGAGAAGGAAAACATTGCAATGTTTTGAGTCACGATTTATTTTGGAGGGAAATCGCGGCACCCTGTAGAGCGTTTAAATAATACGCGGCAAGAATATGACAATATCAAAAGTGTGATAAGCGTTGAATGCATCGCAAGCCGACATATTTCGGACGTCTTTTCTTGCTCCCCAAATGCAGCCCGTTGATGTCTACGCTACTTTACGTCGTGTTTCTTAAAATTTGGGAAAACAAATCGGAATTCATATTAACACCAAAAGGTAAATGCACTGAAACATCCGTACATTAAAATGTCCCACAACGTAAAGTCTGTGCACCGAAAAGTTCGTGCACCGAAATATCCGCGCACCGAAAAGTCCTTGCAGCGAAAAGACAGTGAAGCGAAAAGACTGAACCGAAACCCCATACACCGAAACAACCTACACCGAAATGTCCGGATCCCGGTACAGCCATGAAGGTAGGAAGCTTGTGAAAGCGACATCACACCACTAGCCTTGAAGCCGGTTGAGACTTCCGGTTTGGAGAGACAGGCCCACAGCGATTATCAAAAACGAACAAAACCAAAAGACGATATTCGACGGAAAGGACAGAAATGGGCATTCCCATCGACCGCGACCTCAACTTCCGGCTTCATTTGCAATTTTCTCGTTTAGCTGCATTGAGCCGCTCTGTAGCGTCCTCTTCCCGCCTTCATAATGGCAGTAGAGCCGTAGGTAGCGTTCCAATAGCAGCCAACGCCGCACGTGGGAGCGTGTCTGCCCGCACGACTAGCAGATGGTGTCAGGCGGCAGACTAGACCATAGACTCCTTTATAACTCACAAAGCCTGACAGTTGGACAACGGAGCCATAGAGTGCCCGGTCGCAGATTTGGAGCGCGAGGATCTGATAGCACAGAGCATCAAAGTGTCATTTCTCGGGGAACCTAGACGTCAACACACAGCTTTTGCAGCGGCGAGGACCCCAAACACACCTGTTGTTCGCTCAGTAGAAGTGTGTTTCGGCGTCTCGCCGCAGCGGGGCGCCGGTCACATGGCTCTCCTCTCATCCGTTGTCTACCGCTCCACCTTTCCCTTTCGGCCGCTGCTTCTCGTGGCGATCTGTCAGGCTTTGTCAGTATAGAGGAGGCTATGACTAGACGCACCAGGCGCCGCGACAGGGAGACTTCAGGCTTGCGAACGTGTTCAGCCAAACAGCTAAGCCAATCCAATAGTAATGTGCGGGGTTACCGTTCTGTGCACGGGGCCTAGAGCAGGTGGCGAGCATCACCTAAATTGCGCCAAGCGTAATAAACATTCTGCAAACACAAATGTTTTGTTTTTATGCAAATTGAGGAAAATATTACGTTCCCAATTAAACCCTTAACACTTTTTCTTACATGTCAGTGTCTTTTTGAGGATCGAATATGATCGCGTAATTAGTCAAATACACAGTTGAAGTGCTTCCGGCGACACAGAGGTAGGCCAAGCCATCTCCTCGCCGTCGCATATTTATGTAGTTGCAGTGCCTCACTGAAAATTAAATTCGAAAAAATTCCGCCTCGAAAAAGCATTGTTACAAATCTATGGTAAATTTGGAACGTGTTTTTCTACTTTCGTCATCTTGGGATATAATCGCTGTTGCGCACAAGAATTTATGTTCCTAACATTACATTATCACAATCAAATTTTACATAACTTTAGTATACGTAGAATGCAACTATTAGGGTTTGGCCAGGATGTATGTTTTTATATTTATCAAAGCTTAAAGAAACTTTTAATAGCCTTTTAAAATATCCTTCTTTCTAGTTGTATATATTTTAAAATATACGAGATCTCACACGGATTGCTTTTGTTCTGCTTTGCACTCAGTATTTTAGTAGGAGCCAATTAGCCTATTTTACTTTGTATTTTTAAGATTGCATTGTCATGCCCACACGCGTGCTCAAAACATTTTTTCTCGTGTGCATTGCAAAACAACGTAAAAAAGAGTTATAAAATTAATACCAGTTTGATATAAAAACGTTTGAGCAATATAAGCTGTAAGAAATTAATTCACTTACCTTAATTAATAAAAAATAAACTACATACTACGCTTTTTTATACATTTACCTAGTAAATGGGTATAGTATTTGTGGCAAATTCGTAAATTTTAATATTGGTTTAGTGTCAATTTTACTGTATTGAAAAAAAAGCTTTGAAAATAATCTCTTACTTTCATAACGAAGTTGACTCCCCTGCTGCATCTTACATGATCCACCACAAAGTGGCTAAATTGAGGTAATATTGCAAATTCCATTTCTATTCTTGTTACAGGCATGCTTAAGGCGAATGCAGGAGCAATACATGCATATAATTACCCAGCAATATTTACGCCAAGGCACGGGCATGGCGTGTAATTAGTCTACCTGAAAAACTTTTAAAAAAACTCCACCTCGAGAAGCTGCAACGAAAACATTAAGTCACCAACAAACCGCAAAATAATTGGTATTTGTAGTAGTCCAATTTTGTATGGTTATCAGAATCTCCAGAACGAAAACCCGATAAAAATATCTTTAAACGAGCCAACTTGCCTTTGCCCTTTCTCCACTTGTCATAAGCAAACTTGTCCATCTGATGTTCGTAGAACAGCACCTTGATTTCGTACTGATGACCATATCTAAAAGACAATTTTTATCAAACCTTCAGAGATTGATAAGTTGCCTGCACACTGCCTTGAGAGTTTGAAGTTCGGAAAGTTAACACCTCTTTTGACCCCTTTGAATCTATCATCAAAAAAAGACCTCAATATACACACGTTCTTAAAATACAAAAATATTATATAAATATTTATTCACAAAGCGTCAAACATTTTTACAGACAATTTATGGGTTAAACATTACTCCTCCAAGAAAACTTGTTTCGGAAGCAATCCCCATAATCGAGTAGTGGCCTTGAAGAGTTGTGCGATTTGCACATTTGAAGATTGGATTGGATTGGAACGATTTTTTTCTAATACCCTCGAATACACTAACAAATAATGCAATTAAGAAAATTTCGTCACGATAACATAAGAAGAAAGTCCAGAAATCATCACCTCCTTATCCTTCATTTGCTGCTATTTTTGATCTTAGCGTAATGACCAGTATGTCGTCTTTTGACCAATAAAAATGTAAAAAACAACGGCTGCTTTACAAAAAGCCTAATAATCCATGTATTACATTCTACTGTACAATTTGCAGATCTCTTTTTACTTTATTCCTATTTTATTTTATTTTACTTTCTCTTACTCTGATTCATTAAACTCGTTAAGCTTAGATGATTTGTTTGTATTTTACTCTACTGTGGTTATAAATGTGAAACGAACATATTTTATGCCTTATCAAAATATGTCTCAAAGCGACTGTCAAGTTTTTACTCCAGTGACGAATTATGCGTAACAAAAACTTTAAAAACTTTCTGTGTTAACTACATTAGCTTGAGCCATTACTTTCTAATAAGTGTGCACGCGAACTAGATCGCTCTTAAACCCCGACCTATCATTAACGTTGCATGCACTTCCAGTCGGATCGTATATGAAGCGCTTAAAGTAGTGTACATCCTCCTGCAACACGAAAAACCTATTGAGAGCCCGTGGCCGAGACGGTTGCTGGGGAGAAGGGGAAAAGGGGGGAGAGGCACTGCGCGCGCTTCGGGCGATTCTATTATATCCGGAGGGGAGGACTCACACAGGGCTCAGCTCAAGCGCAACACGCGGTTATCAGTTTCGGTTTCGTGGTGGAGAGCAGTTCGCCAGCGTCATGCCACGGCCATGCCCTACTAGCGCCCCAATTGCTGTCTGAGAGAAACCGGCCTGAGCCAAGGTGATTATTCTGACCCTGTTAAAGATCGAGACTCGTGCGAGAACCAATGAACGTACTCTTCGACAAATTTTATCTATTAGACATAGGATACGGGTGTAACATTAATATTTGTTTATTTGGTAGTGCCTGCTCTGACCTTATACGCAAGAAAAAAGTGATAAAATAACAGCGATGACTAGCTTGACCCGAGCCTTCCTTTTCATGTCTCTGAGTATGACGCCGATGAAGCGCGCTTTTCCCCTAAACCGAAACCGACATCTGTTAAGCGTGTTCACACCCGGTTGTGCACCGAGTAAGTACCCTCCCCTCGAACAAGAATGGAATTGCTCTGAGCGAGGGCAGCACTCCGCCCGCCGCTGTCAACTTTCTGACATGACGAAGCATGCAGTGACGTTCCGCCATTATTGCCCTCTCTTCGGTAGAATGGGTCCGCAAACGCTTAGTATCCAGGGCTCAGTTTTGCCGAATCGTGTGGAATGCTTAAAATCTGGGGGAAATATCATAGCTCTACGGCACAAAAAACATAACCGGCAGGTTCCAAAATTTTTGCGCACAATTCTGCCAACAATGGCTTCCTAGAATTAAAAAAAGGCAACTAATCTTTCAAATAAACCCCATATCAGAGGATATATATTTTTGTCATGAATTAAACTTTCATGACAAAAATAACAGACACACATTATAGTTATATACAGGCACATGAGAGTCAACGAGAAGCGTCTTCAGCTTGAATTCCCGATGGAAATCCAAATTATAAGGAGAGCTAGAAACGCATTTAAATTTCACGTGCGATTTATCGTTTTTTTTTTAAAAGATAAATACAAAGATGTATAATTAATTTTAGAACTTTATGAAGACTAAGATTTAGTTATGAGCAATGGTTCAACTACATATTGCAAACCAATCAAGTGTTGCCAAGTAAACGAAATATGCAAATTAAGTCGTTATTTTCAAATGCACGCTTACGGGTCTCCGTCGTAATTTTTGGTCATGTATTGGATTCTGATGGGATCACCTGGGCGTCTGTCACGTCCTCCCCACCTTGACGCACACTTGAAGTTGAAAAAAACCCAATCATTCTCGTAGTCACGATACTTCATGTAGTAATCGCCGTTCAGGAATGCCTAGGAACGAAATGTGAGGAAACGATTACTGGCTTACGGGGAAATACATAGTTTTGAAAGATTTACATGAAAACATGTAATGTTTTCAATTTTACATATTTCGCGATTTATATTTTTTTGCAGTTTTCTAATTAAACAAGCTATCGACCAGAGTCGCGTCATAACATCTGAACTGACAAAATATCGGAAAAAATTCTGAGTTTTTTTTATGGCTATCCTTTCGGCTAACAAGAAAATAAGACATATTTACGTAATGTCATTAACGCGCACGAATAGTGTTAAAAAAAACCGGATGTGTTTCCCGACACTACAACCTAATATTTTTAGAGCGCAGCTCTTAGGGGCCCATTTCCGGCTTGAGCGGCGTCGCCGTCAGCGTAACCGCGCGGTGCATCATGGTAAATGTCCCATAATGCACCGCGCAAGCACCCCCGGGGTCCCGTGACCTCGGGGGGGGGGGGGGGGGGAGGGTCACGTGACTCCCCCCCGAGGTCACCCCCCGAGGTGATGTGACTCCCCCCCGATGACGTCATCGTCACTGATGACGTCATCAGTGACGTCACTGTGAAGTCACCGGCATCCGCATCGTCATCGTCATCATCACTGAGGACGTCATCAGTGACGTCACTGATGACGTCACCGGCATCCGCATCGTCATTGTCATCATCACTGCTGACGTCATCAATGACGTCACTTATGACGTCATCAGTGCTCCATAGCAGAGTTGCTCTATAGCAGAACTGCTATGGAGCAACTCTGGTGACGCTGATCAAAGGACTTCCGCGAATTAACATGTAGTACTAGTTCATTTTTACCTGGCTTCTAACAGCATTCTGTACCGAGCACTTTTTTTTTAGAGCGAAGCTCTTAGGCGCCCGCTTCCGGCTTGAGCGGCGTCGCCGTCGGCGTCGGGGTCGACGTCGCCGTCGGCGTAATTGCGCGGTGCATGATGGGAGAATTCCATTATTGCACCGCGCGAGCCCCCCCCCCCCCCCGGGGTCACGTGACCGCAGGGGGGTCACATGACCCCCGGGTCAAGTGACCCCCAGGTCACGTGACCCCCCTACAAAGTCACGTGACCCCCCTACAAAGTCACGTGACCCCCCTCCCCCAAGGTCATGTGACCCCCATGAGGAGATTGAAGAATGAAAGGAGGAGGAGGTGAAGGAGGAGGAGGGGTATACCCTCCCCTAAGTACCCTTCCCTCCTCCTCCTCAAGAGCTGCACTCCAATTCGATATTGCAGGTAGTAGTAAGCGGCTTTCACTTTTTTTCAAGTTTTTGTTAAACTAATTCAATCAGAACGGTTTATGTATTTGCAAATCTAGAATATTTACACTCAGAAGCCACGAAAACGTTACCAAAAGCCATATAATTTACATGACAGTCTTTTTATACGTTTACTGCATGGTTATCATATTCAGAAGCAGTGGGGGGTTTAAATAAAGGAGGGGGGAGGGAGGGGGGGTCGCAGTAGTTCCCAAGTGACGGTATTTGAAGGCGGGGTTCATAGATTTGACCAAAGTTTTACGTGAGCACTTCATTTGGGCTCGTGATAATCAATAGCTCAACAATCATTCGTGTAGTGGCCCGAGTCCAATCGCTGTAATGACGACCATAGCCGAACCATAACAATGTCTGGAACTCGGCGGGCGTACTCTTTTTCGTTAGCACCAGCGCGTTTCTATGATCAACATTGGCGGCATGTATAATCGGCTTCAGATCACGTGGCCGCTTGTTTTGGTTACAAGGTGAGGGGGCAAACGCTGCCCGTTTTTTTTTTATTTGTTTTCTGGGATTACTGTTGCCTGTTGTAAAAATATGAAAGCCGTTTGCAACTCCCTGTAATGCCGAATTAGAGCGCAGCTTTTGAGGAGGAGTAAGAGGGGAAGGGTACTGAGGGGAAGGTATATCCTTCCTCCCTCCTAATCACCTCCTCATCCTGCCTGCTACTCCTCCCTTCGAGTGGCGTCGCCGTCGCCTCACGAGGGTCACGTGACCTCACGGGGTTTACGTGACCCCTATGAGGTCACGTGACAATGGGGCGATGACGCCATCAGTGACGTCACGAGTGACGTCAGTGATGACTTTATCAGTGACACTGACGATGCGGGTGCCGATGACGCCATCAGTGACGTCACTAATGACGTCATCTGTGACGATGACAACGCCGATGACGTTATCGGTGACTATTACGGTGTGGATGCCGATGACGTCATCATTGACGTCATCAGGGACGATGGCGATGCGGATGCCGATGACGTCATCAGTGATGATCAAGATGACGATGACGTCATCAGTGACGATGCCGATGACGTCATTGATGACGTCATCAGTAACGTCACGCGTCCTGGAATGCACCGCGCAATAACGCCGACGCCACTCAAGCCGGAAACGGGCGCCTAAGAGCTGCGCTCTAAAACGAAGGCGTGTTTCATAGGTCGTTAAAGCCAGCGATTCGTTCTAAGCGGTATTCATCCAAAGTACAAAAATCGTTGCATCGCCCTTTTAACTGGCACATTCGAAAGACTGCCCTCTGTCGGCAGCTGTGCAATCCCTGCACGATGGGGCACTAAACCTTAACGTCACGGCACACTTTGTGCGTTTGCTTGGATTAGAAGGCAGAAACTCAGCCACAGAAAAAGGTGATCAGCGCAGTGACGTTGCACTTTCGACGTTGTTTGATTGGCTTTTCGGCTCCTAGCATTGGCTGCTTTCCAACGCTTTCTATCTTATGGAATGTCTTTCACTTTCCACGACGAGGATGTTTCTGCCCTTGTGCAGTAGTTTGGACCTTCTAATAATCGGTACGTGACTTTCGAAAGGGGCCTATGAAGATGTGTTGCCCGCAATCAACATATTTCATATTCGCTGATAGCATTCAGAAAACAAAATTTTGCTACTTCAATACGAAATCTTCTTGACTGCGAAGGCGCGCTTATTTTTATATCCACATAAATAAAATTAATCCCCCAAATTTTCTTTTTTTTCTGTGAAAACCTGAAAGTTGTCCGATCTCTCCCGAAAATCCGACAAACCCGCTTTCGTTTCAAGTACAATGGGCAATGAGTAAAGTATTCTAGAAATATGAAGAACAATTTGTTTGTTTTTTATGTTTTGTTAGCCAGGCAAAACGGATAAATAATTTTTGCTTCTGTGGCACATTCATAGCAAGCTGGTATAAAAAAGCAGCTTTAGCAACCAGCGCTCTAGCCGTTTGAATATAAAATAGTAGTCGTCTTACCCAACTTGCATTAAGTGGTGACGTTTGTGCATCCGAAGCATGCGAACTGAAGATCGCCCCCGCCAGGATAAAACAAAAAGCGAAGAGTCCAGTGGTCATGGTAGCTTTTGATTGAGATGTATTTGCGCCAAGTCGACTCCCAAGTATACAAGATAAGTATACCGTAGTCGTGGACGAAACGTACCGACTTTTATATCCAAGGTTTCGAGTGGGGTCAGTCAGGCTCTCCGAGAGAGGCATTGTTTTCTAAAAAAAGAAGGAACTCACTTGTAGACCCACCATATTATTGTTCTGTTTATTGCGTCGTGTATCTTGACGTATAGGACCTTGCAACATGTGATATATATCTCAAGGCCATTCTTCTTTTTTTTTTCTGCGGTAAAAGCTGTTGAAACCCGTTTGCTCTACGGACGTCTTACTCCTGGTTAATTCAGTTGGTGGAGCGCTCCACTGGAAATGAAGAGGTCCCTGGTTCGATACCGGAACCAGGCAGATTTCTTTGGTCACGCACCAGTCACCTATAGTTTGTTCGGAGATTTGCGTTTCTGCTTTGTTCTCATTGTTCCCCTTCTCCACGGATTAGTGTTGTCAACAATGTAGATCATGCTCGAAAACCACTAACTCAAGCCATTCTAGAGAGATATTAAGCTTGTAAAGCATTTACGGCGTTGCAAAAAAAAAAAAAAAAAGGCTTGATTTGGACAGGTTTTAGGTTAGGGTTCCCTATCACCCGCGGTTCTGCTGCCCTGTGGCTGAAACGCGCGATGAACGTGCTGCATACTTCCTGCCTCCGAGAGAGGCGAGGCGGTAGCTTCGCACCTCCGCCACGTAAAGGGCAACTCCGCTTCATTTTTTGATATTTAGAAAACTATGCAGCCCTCTTCAGTATCATATGAAAAGACCACATGTCAAATATTACGATCCAATTCCGTCTGTACATTTAATAAACTGGCCAGCAAACTTCCAAATGAGCCAAGTCGCCGAAATCTGCCAACGCCAGCATGCGACGTGAGGCACATTCATCAGCACAGTCAACGACACGGAGTTGGAGCAGCCAACATTCAGTCACTACGTCAGAGGGAGGACTACGTCACTCTCACGTTTTGTTTGTTTTTATTTCTAAGAGCGAAAATGAACGATGACGTCATGAGTTTCTCCTCCCGGCGTTGGCTCACCGGCGTTAACGTGGTTACCGTAACAAGGATGCGCTAGTTTGCGCTGCCCTGCGCGCTTCCCGGCGCTGAAAGCTGGGAGCAGTCTGTTTCGTCTCGCCGCTGCTCTAGCTTGAGAAGCACGTTTTTTTTACGATACGAGCGCGGGCCACATTTCCGATGCCTAGCTGCGATGAATCTCGAAAGATCCATAGGTTCACGATGTTCTGTTGCGGCCTGCTCAAATTATCAGTTGACCAGCCCGGGAGTTGTCTTTCACAAGTGTCCACACGATGCGGTAGCAAACTACATTGGCGAAAATTCCGGAGCAGACGCTTTGCTCTGCGTTCGCCCGCGGTCGCATAGAGGATCACCTGACCTTTGAGACTGTGACGACCCCCATAGGGGACGCACAGACGCGCTGTGGTGGGCCCACGATGGGGAGGGGGGGGGGGGGGGGGAGGGGGGGGGGAGGGGGGGGGAGAAATGAGGCGAAAACGATATTTACTGTTTATCAATAATAAGAGTCGGTGTTGGTGCCGCCCGCCGCTCACCGACCGTCGCGGCGTTCTGAAGGGCTGGTGTACCGGGCCGTCCGTCACTGTGCTGGTACCTGGGCAAGTTGGCTGCGGGGCTCACAGGGTTTACAGGCTTGTAACGCTGACGCTAGCGGGTGGCCTTGCGATTGAGACGATCCGGGCTTCTCAGGGCTCAGAGAGTTCGGGGGCATGGGGCGCTGACGCCAGCGGGTGGCCGTTGCGTTTCTCTGGCCGGGTTCACAAGGTTCTGGGGCTTCGAGCGCTGACGCTAGCGAATGGCCTTGCGGTTGAGGCGATCCGGGCTTCTCAAGGTTCGGAAACCTGGGGTGCTGACGCCAGCGGGGGGCCTTTCCATTGTGCTTCTCTTATGGGTTGCTACCTGCGCTCTCTCCAGCTAGTGCGCCCCCCTGGCACTGTTCTCATCGCGTATTCCTGTTCGGACTCGTTTCCCCCGACCTGTCCCAACTTGCTTCCCATGTCCGGTTTATCGGCTCCCCCTCTCCTCTTCCGTCGTCTCCCCTTCCCCATCTCCCCCGGCCTTCACCGTTTACGCCATCCGAAGCGGCCTGCCCGCGTCATGTGTCCTGTACCTCGCCCCCACGAACGTCACAAGACCACGGGGTTCGACGTGACGTGGCCATGACTCTGACGACACGAGACCAATGTAGCCTGACGCAACTGAAGTTTCGGTTTCGGTATCTGCTGATGTTTAAACTAAGATTACACAAACAATGTTCTACATTTCGCGAATCTGAAGACGTAGAGCTGTTTAGTAGTGTTTTGGGAAATGGACTCACATATAAGCCTAATTTTTTTAGAATTGAGCGGAGTTTCCGTACGTAAGGCTGGACCGCTATTGCAAAGACGCACTCCAATACACCTTTGCAAGACCGGCTTCAGAGCGCCGCCATCTTGCTTGGTTGGGGTAAGCTTGGACGCGTCATAATTCAATTACAAAGCCTTGCAAATGCGTCGTAATCGAATTATGGCCGCGCCCAAGCGCACCCCACCCGATCAAGATGGCGGCGCCCTAAGGCTGGACTTGCAAACCTGTATAGGAAACATATTTGCACGTCCGGCCTCAGGGCGCCGCCATCCTGTTCATTGGGGGGCATTTGGACGCGCCATAATCCGATTACAAATCCTTGCTAAGGTGTCGTAATCGGATTATGGCCACGCCCAAGCGCTCGCCAACTGAGAAATATGGCGGCGCCCTTAAGCCGGGTTTGCAAACGTGTATAGGAACGCGTCGAAATTAAGCGGTTTCGCAAAACGCCGTAAAATGCTGCACATGCCTTATATCATAATATTAGTTAATTTAGTGGTTTTCGATGATAGTCTATAGGTTTCTTACTCTAACCAAATGTTTATCTTAACAAATTAAAAATATTATTAGTAAACATGAGAAAACAATTTTTCTTAAATTAATATGCGCTTTCTTTTAATTACTGACGTCCACCGTGGAGAGCAGTTTCTTAACCATGATAAATTATACCTGATACTGTGGTAAGTAAAGAGAAACATAAAATGGTGACGAGACAGGAAGAAATAGACAAGGCGACGTTCCGGAAAGGTATATTATTTGCTTAAAGGACAACTCCGCTCAATTCCAGAAATTTTGGGGTTATAGGTGATTATACGTTAAGGTATACTAATAAACGGCTCGGCGCCGTTTGTTTCCCAAAAAATAAAATATATATGTTGTAATCCTTCTTTAGTCCCGATGAAGAACCGAAACCGAAACTGTGCCCGCGCCGGGCAACACTGGTCCCGCGTCGTCATAGCCTAAGACAACCCACGTGGTACTAACGTAACGTATGTCACTCACCACAGAACCGCGCGAACGGACGGATCGACGGAACAAGCGTCGGGTCGTCTGCTCCACGGTCTACACTATCCACCGGCGTGTGCAGTACCGCGGCCGCAGCGCGCTTTGACGCAGAAAAAGGCAATTTCAAAATTACGTTTTTGAACCATTAGTAGGTGAAGTTTGGTAAACCACTCGTAATATGTTGCGAAGAGTGTGCCGGGCTAATGTTCGCCGGTATAAAACAAAGCGTAGTACTTTCGTTTGTTCTTGAGATAACGCTGTTTCTAGAGTGTTTCGTTGCAACCAGTATTCGCGTTTAAGATACCCCACGAAGCGCTCCTAGGCTGCAATCTAGCTTAATCGTTCTCCGTTTCCTTGATTATTTCGCAGTTGCAGAGTTTTTGTGAAAAAAGTTTCATCCATGAGACCATGACTTACATTGCGCGATGAGTGATACTTCTAAAGCTCAAAAAATTGTAAGGGTGCAGGCGAGCTGGCGGAAGTTAACCATAGTTTTGTTTAACCCGAGACTGGGGTATTTCGGAAAAGGGACGAGAAGAAAAAAGGCCACAAGGAGGCGACGTCTCAAAATTTTGAGACGTCGCCTCCTTGTGGCCTTTTTTCTTCTCGTCCCTTTTCCGAAATACCCCAGTCTCGGGTTAAACAAAACTATATTCTAAAGCTCGTTATCACGAACCGTTTTCACAGTCGTATGTCACGGAGCTTGGAAATGTCCCCGATGAATGGACGCTCGCTCTATGCTAGTTGATGAAAATACGGAGTCCTAGGGCCTGTTGTGTCTACAACGTGGCATGTGACACGGTATATAAAGTAGGACAAGTACGTCGAAACGATCGGCACTTCGTCGCGTCGCCATGCGTGTGTCGCGCTCGAATAGCTTCCTTCGTGGTTTGTAAGCAGTTGTGCTTGAGTAGTGTTCTACCAACCACGTGTTTTTTTTTTTTTTTTTTTTTCAATTGTGCACTTGCGGTTAGAGAAACACAGAGCACTTTAATATTGCGTAAAGGCTTTTCGTGCTCCGTATTATTCTGGCCACGGAAGTACAATTCAATCGTATATTTTTTTAGCCACTGATCAACTTCTGATCGATTGGTGTTTTCTGCATAACCAACGCACACATCCGCATATGCAGCAGACAACAAATTTTTCAAGCCTGCGACAAAATTAACAAGTTTTCACCATTTCTTTGTTGACACGATACGTTTCTTTTTTTGTCAAATCAATATATATACAACAATAAAATCATGTCGCACAATCCACACACAAATATAACTGAAATTTAAAAAAAAACTGCAGAGCATTTTATGTACAATACCTGGTTCAAACACAGCAATAATCAGCAGTAATAAATCTAGCACAATATTTGGGGAACAATTAATGATTAAATGATGGCACTTACTTCGTACAAATTCGCTGTATGATAGGAAATATTCTGAGATTTAATGTGTTAGTGTCATCGTCAAGGCAGCAGAGCAGGCTTGTGGTATACATATTGAAATCCTGTTTATTCATATGTTCTTGATTTTAGCACCTATGTCAGACGATGAGAGCCTGCCGCTAGAGGCAGACCTTGGAGCA